TTTATTATAATTTATTTACTCGTTTATTATTTGTCAAGAAACGTGGGAGAAAGCAAAAACCATGGCTGAATGTTATGATTACTTATTTGAGATAGCTGTCAAGATGAAAAACGCTGGTTTGGATCCAACCGCCAAACCGACTGAATAGTAATTAGAATTTTCCTTTTAAACGATTATTTATTTGGCTTAAAAAATATTTTAATTAATTTAAAATATAAACTGAGTGAAGAAAAGTACAAATAATTATATTCCATAATCTTTTTTTACAATTTCATTATACAATTGTTTATCAACTGCAAAAAATCTCATGAAATCGATTTCAAGAATATGAACTCTAGATCCAACAATAACTAAAGAATGTAACGGTGGTCCAAAATCTTGTGACAATAATTGATTTAAAGTGCCAACTTTAATTTGTTGGTCCGTTGATGAACCAAGGCGGGCTATACCGATTGCTAGTGATTCGGTTGTGTAAACTTTTAAAAAAAATATATTTATTTATTATTATTATTAAAATAAGACATAATAAATTAAGAATAATTGGATTAAATTAATTACCTTTTTGATTACGAGTTTCTTCAATTTCAAAAAGTTGTTGGATTGCTTTATTGATAGTCATATAACGAGGAGGTTCATAAATTTTCTTGCCTCTGTTTCATATTTTATGTTTCAGTTAAAAAGTTTTCATATAATATAATTTTGAATCAATTAAAATAAATGCGAACCTTGCTAAATTTTCTATACTTTGTTCTTTTACTTTAATATCTAATAAATAAAATAAAATAAAATAATATAATATAATATAATATAATATAATCTATGTCAATGGAAACATAAAAAACATGAATTTATTACCTAATAAACACAAAGTGTGCAATCCTAAATCTTTGTTTTCTTTAATACGATCATAAAAACTATCTGGTTTCCACGTATTAGTGAAAAATGGTATAGAGATAGTTTGACCAAAATTATAAAGCTGTAATCCACAAGTACCAATCGCATTTATAATTGAAGCATTATGAATTACTGTGACAGGAATATTTAATTCTCGAGCTCGTATCACTAAATCTGTATGTGTAGTTGCACTTTGTTGTTGTAAATAAAAAAATTTAGATTTGTAATGTTATGAAATGAATTGTAATAATTACATACCCGAAAGGATCTCCAACTACCAAGAACGCTATATTTAAAGAATTTGCGTTCAATAATATTTCATCGCTTTGCGATTCTACCATTTCTCTATCTGCAATTATTAATTCTTTTCCATAAAATTTTTCCTATATAAATTAGAATGAACAAAGTTATGCGAAAAAAGTAATTAACTAAATAATTAAATATATATATATATATAGATATTTGGATTATACCAATTGTTCTTTGGGGACCATTAAAATACTTGTATAAGCCTCTAAATAAACTCTTTCGCATGATTTTATTGCTTCGAGACCTTTAACAGTAATGTCTGTTTCATCACATAAACCTAAGCCTATTATATACAGCATTATATACAAGAAAATTATTACATATCAAATATTATCTTGCATTACCGTTACCAGTTTTAATAACTGATAATATAACGGTAATAAAATTATCTATCACCATTGATAATCTAAAGTCATGTGAATGAATAGATGCTCGTTACCATTGGCTTTTAACATCTATAAAAATTACGATAATGATAAAAATAAATTATTCCAGAAATGATGTTTAATTATCGAGCAACGCTCTGGCGTTATAAAATAAAATTAAATTTAAAACATAACTTTTTGTCATTACGTTTCCCGAGTAATTTTATTATATTAAATGAATTATTTTTGCGCGCAGTAAGTCAAAAATTTTTTTTTTTCGCATAGAAATTACTTAAATTACCGCATTTAATTGTCATAAAAAAAATTTACTTTTTGAGTTTTTTTTTAATAATCAATTTTTATTAATCTTGTTAATTTTCTGTCAAGTCGTTTCATAATTCATCGGGGCGAAACAAACAATTCGAAAAGGTTTCGCCTCCATATCGAATACTCTTTTTTGGATCGGATTATTTTTCTCTTGAATCGTTAATTGCCTTAGTAGACCATCAAAGTATTGTTTATATTTTAAAATAATGTAGATATTCATTTTGACATTTAATAAAACCTAATTTCACTTTTATTAATATAAAAAGAATCAGAGAGTATCAATTCTTTTGTCAAATCAATTGAAGTCGTGGTCCCTCCCGACCGTAGAACTGGTAGAGGATTGAAAACTATATCTCAAAGTACTGTAGATGCTAGCTTTCCTTAGAGAGAGAAGAATAATTATCTTTCCTTTTGCGAGAAAGGATTGACTAACTTCATTTCGTAAGAGGAATGTGAATTTAACAACTAAACTCTGTATAATCCATCGTAAGGTCCCGTAAAGTTATTCGCACAAGACAATAATTTAGTTATTCATGAAGCGCCACAAAAAACTTTACAAGCCTGGAAGGTATTATTTAAGAATACTTCTAATTGTTTAATGAACATGAAATTTATAATTTCATATGAAACTTTTTCAGATTCCAAAGCCACGTGACCTTGAAGCAATACACTTCGATATTGATCGTTTCGATATCGGTGTGGTTGTGTCATTTGGGTACTTTTTATCACCAGCTATTCTTGAATCCTTTACGAAAGGATCGATGAACGTTCATCCTTCATTATTACCAAAGTACATAATTTATTTATGTATTATTTTAGTTATTTTCTGGCCTTAAAGAGGCTCATGTCTTTGAATTACCGTTGTGTGTCATATTCAGATATCGTGGAGCAGCTCCAATCCAATATGCTATTTTAAATGGTGATCAAGAAACTGGAATTACAATTCAAGAGCTTCATCCTGAAATTTTCGATGCTGGAAAAATTTTAAGGCAGATTAGTATGGTTTGTCTTTTTTTTCCATAGATTTCTTTTATCAAAAGTTTACAAGAAAAAAAAATTATGAATTTTTCTCATTTATCTTTATAGGCCATTCCTTCTGAATCCACTTACCTGTCACTTGAGTCAATTCTTGCTGCGGAAGGTGCTGAGTTATTAGTTGATACTCTTCGATATCTTGATTATTTTCAGGTAAATTATTTTAATTTTCTAATTTCTGATTTATCAGATTATACGATTTCTATTATTTATTATATTACATTATAGGCTAATGCACAAGAACAAGATACAACAAAAGCCACAAAAGCGCCAAAAATTTCAAAAGATATGGCTGAAATTAAGTGGAATCAGATAACTGCGGATCGATTAGATAAATTATATCGTGCTATATCTCATCAGGTTATATATATTTTATGTATTTTTTTTTGTTTATATTTTAAATTTTATTTAGGTTTATTTTTATCTTAACCTTCTTAACCTTCTTAACCTATAAAAATTCTTTACAGTATTCAATAACCACAAATTTTATTGAGAAACGTATACAATTACACAATATCTCTTTACCTTCTGAACTTAAACAACAAAAGATCAGAATTAAAACTGCAAATATAAAAGTCAATTATAGCCCGGGTACGATTATTTATGATTCGAAATCATTAGATTCGATATACGTTATCTGTAATGATGATAAGTTAATTGAATGTCGAAGCGTTAAAATGGAAGGAAAGAATGAAATTTCAGTAAAAGATTGGATTAATGGGTATGGAGTTGAAAGTGGAAAGATGAAATTTGAATCTTTATGAGAATTATAAGGATTAGATTAATTGTTACAAATAATACGTATAAATTTTGATGTTTCAAATACTGTACTAAGAATTCTGGAATTACATTTTGATTTTTGCGATATGCATCACATGATCTATGATAAGGTTTAATTTTGCCAATCAAATTTTTTTTTGACAATCGGAAAATCGAATACCGACTGTGCTAGGTATTTTTTGTAAATATTATACTACTATAGTTCTTGTCCTCGTCTTCCTCTAAGACTACTCGAAATCACGTATTTGATTTATATACGTTAGTGAATTTATAATGACTCCTGATACAATATTCACTATCGCCGGTAAAGGCTTGAAATTAAACACCGCAGAAGATGTACAAGAATATGTGAATTCTATATTGGAACTTAAGAATTTAGAGGAGGTAGTTTTAAGTGGAAATACTTTTGGTGTTGAAGCCGCTCAGGCAATAGCTATGACCATAAAAAAGAAAGATTCTCTCAAGGTAAGAATTATAGGCTGAAATAGTCTGAAAAAAAAAAAAAAATAGTTTTGTTTTGAATTTTCAAATCATTCAAATCATGCATTATATTAGTTTTCAACAATTTTAACGCGTCTTTATTATTTCGGTTTGACCACACACCTAATATAGATTGTCAACGCGTCAGACATCTTTACGGGTAGGCTTAGAGAGGAGATTCCTCACTCAGTGAAAGCTATATGTGACGCGCTTGAGGATAAAGAATGTCTTGTAGAATTAAGTTTTAGCGATAACGCGTTTGGTCCGGCAGGTGCTGAACCTATGGTTGATTTTCTTACTAATAATAAATCATTAAAGATTCTCAAACTTAATAACGTTGGTCTTGGACCTCGTGGTGGAACGCTAAT